TGATAAATGAGAAGCTACAGCCTTAATCCACAGTAAATACTTCAAATTATCTCATATTGTGCAATCCTCACATTTCCAGAGAAGCACGAGACAATCTGAACTACTAGAAATAAATAAAAAAAAATATATATTTAGATTAGCTATTAATTCTTCATTCTGAAGATCTTCCATTGCACAAAGTCATATATCGTGGTTTCAACAAAGTCTGTTTAAAGGTTTCTTGAAAGTCTGCAGGCTGAAAAAGAGATCATCAGGAATTTAAGGGGAAAAAAAAGGAAAATGTTTCTTTAAAACAGAGAAGAGAGCTTTCAGGTTATCTTTTCTCTCAAAAAACACTTGTATGATGGTGATATCATTAACCTCTACAGCATCACCAACTGAAAACTGTTTTAGATAATACATTTAAGTTCATACTACATCAGAGGAATTCACCCACCTTATGTAATTAGAAGCCTAATCTGTGTAAAAATTTTAAGTATCTAGGAAAATGGACATTTCATATGAAGGTGTCATAGGTTTACTTTTTCCAAAAATCCAAGCAGAAATTTTCCTTTCCCCTGTCCCACTGTAAGAGAAGGATGTTGAACAAGGAGGGGGAAGGGGTAATTAACTATACAAAAGAACTAGCTGGCAGACCTGCATTCCCAGCTAATAGCCCTTCTAAAAAAGTGCAGGGAGAGGGGAGGAGTTTTTTCTCCTCCTCTCCTTACAAATGGGGGACACTTCACTTTTTGCCTTAACAGAGTCAAGGTGTGTGTGTGTGTGTGTTGGACAAGCTTTGAGGTCGTTTTGCTCTCGACCTGACCATCTGGCTCCTCTCCGGCCTCGGCTTGCCTTCACAGTGCCCTGTCTCCAGCCCGAATCTGCTCAGAATTCATCAGAGAGTTTGTGCTCGTCAAGGAAAGGGAGGAGTCCCGACCGCAGCCAGCCACAGACAACGTGAGTTTCGTGGTAAAGAAACTGCCCTTCTTTCCCCTTCTCCCCTTCCCCTCCTTGGTGGGGGGGAGATCTCCATTTTGGCTTCTCCCGTGATCCGGGGCCCCCACGTGGTGGCCGCCAGAGCCCAACAGCGCCCCCTGCTGACCGCACTGAGCACTACAGGCTCTGCTCCTCCAGTGATCCAACAGCGCTCCTGCCAACCGCGATTAAAACTGCACTAGAGGACAGAGAAGTATCAGACTGTTTCCTTTTTGAAGGGGACTTTTGGGTACAGGATTATTGCTTAGTTGTTTTTGTGTTCTGTTACTGTTTTTGTCAATATACATATATCCTTTAATAAAGGGTTGTTATTTCTTCCTTTTTCCATACTTCCTCAATTGGAGCCTCTTAATTTCGGATTTACAATTGCTGAGAGAGAAGAGTTTGGTCTACCTCATAACTCATCCTCCTTAGCAAAACACTTTAGTCTCTTTACACTGAGACAGAAGTGTATTTTACTTGCATAATCAGAAGGGAAACATGTCATTGATAACTCATGAAGAGAAACCGTACCTAACCCAAGTCACTCTATGGCTGTACTAAATCAGCTACTGATCTGGGGCAATACTGACGATAGGAGTGTTTAAATCATTATTTTAGTCCACATCAGCAGTGAGCTTTCAAACCACATCTCCCAGTTGCCTCCATTTACTGTGCTTGGGTTTCAAAACACAGAGTTGTTTGAAACACTTGAACTAGACTCTTTTGCAATGAAACTAGATCGGAAGATTAATTTCAGAAATACATCCAATGTGCTACAAGGATTGGGGAAGAGACGTACCAAGGGTAGTTCTGATCTAACTTGCACAGAATAGATCTTACTTGTTGTTACAGAAGCATATAAAAAATAGTCTGCCTAAATCAACCCTGTAGTACTCTTATGAGACAGAGTAATCTTGGATTTGGGTAGAGACAACATTTTCGATAATCATGAGATCAAGAGTGCAAGACACTTTCTACTTGCATTAGAAACATATCAATCCATATATTAATTTTTCATCATATAAACCATTACTTCCTTCAAACTACTTGTAAACAACTATCAGGTGGTACATGAGTGCAACTTGCCTGATCAAGATAAAAAGCACTACCATCTCGGATCTCTCGTCGTTGTTTGAGGTCAGTTTCTGTGGTGTCCCTCGACAGTGCAATATATTCAACCTCCCGCTTTGTTAGCTCCTGTGGACAACAGATTAAAGTTATTACAAAAGTAAGACTATAACCTCAGTAAGTAAACTTTAAGAATAGGCCTAATGGTACATTTGTACAAAAGAGCTCTAGGCAGCAGCACACTGATTTGAAATAACTCTGAAAAAATCTAATATCTCTTATTTTTAAAATGTTTACAGTGTGTTCTGCCTGAAACAAAATGGTTTCAATTTCTGCTCAATAAACTTTTGTTTTCCCCAAAACCAAAATAACCAGCTATATATTCTTTCCATTGAACATCTGTAAAATTCTTTAAGTTAATCTTCTGGTTCTGGCCCCCAAAAAACAATCAGCATCTGAAAATCATGAATAAAAATAAAAAAACACATGTTTTTTTAACTGATATTTATTTAACTGATATTCCTGCTATTTCCATATCTGGGTTATCACGCATTCTGCTTAGGAAATGGACTCATGATGACATGCTCTTAGTCCTTACTCCTCAATTAAAGGTACCACTGATTTAACAGAACTTTCTTATGAGGCATCTTTTAACTACAGTTGTATGAAAAGAATAAAGCAAAGATATGAAACCCTATGAAAATTATTTCCTTTCCACTTTCTCAGTGCCTACTGGTTACAAAGCCACCAAGTCCTTTATGTTGCAGGTAGATAAAATTGCACTTTCTTTAATTAAAGGAAAAAAACAGACTGTTTTTTCAACAGCTAGCCCCATGTATATGAATACATAGTAAAAGCTTTCAGTAACAGCAGATAAAACTTTTCCAGGCTTATGTATCTTCATTAAAGGCACCACAGCACATATCAGCTTACACGGAAAGACCAGCCTTCCCATAGTTTTTTGGCATGGCACTGAATCAGTAAGCTGCAGCCTTTCTAATAGATCTCAAGTGCGTAAAGTCAGTGGCATAAATAACAACACACATTCTATGTCCCATGCCTGGATATCAGGTGTTTTCTAAGTCCTCTTTTTAGGTTATACCAAACTCTTCTCATTTTTTTAAGGAATGCATCAAGCTATCGAGTAGCACATCTGGTTTGCTGAATTAAGAAATCTTTTCTCTCTTTTGCATAGTTCAAATCTTGCAGCTTTCTCTTTTATGCTTTACCTCTGAGAGTTAGTATTTGAATTAGTATCTTTTGATTTTGAAAGGAATGACTGATTTTTATGACTACTGTTTACACACCTCCATTTGCGATCCCTCTGCCCAACCAGATTCCAGTTACAGCTCATGGTAGACCAAGTCCTACCCACATCACTTTTGGGGGCAAACAACCCTCTCCTCCTGATCATTTAAGGGCACTGACTTTTTAAATGAGAAATTTTGTACATGTTGCTCCCATGGTTCATGCAGATGGACGTAGGCAAGGCCTTCCCACATTCCAAGAGAGGATCATACATGCATCTACTTTAATCACTCATAATAACTGTTCCCAAATGTTACTCAGAACACTTCTTTACTAAATCCTTTCCTTCATTTGTTTTTTTTATGTAATGAAGTAAAAACGATTTGTTGTCTGTAACAGTAGGCAGATATCTTAATCTTCTAACATACATAATGCCGAGAACAAACTGTTTCTCCATTTGTGATAGCATATGGTAACACAGTTTTCCAACTCATTTTTTTTCCCCCTGGAGTTTAAGCAGAAAAGCATGTATTAAAATGTCTGTACTTTCTATTTGTCTATAACAAAAATTGAACTTTGGAAAGCACATTTATGGAAAAACTTATTTACCTCCTAAATAGCTTGCTGTAAGATTTTCTAGGACTAACTTTTTACCACTTGTCTAGTATAGGAATGACTAACTGACATTAATAACTATGTCTCCAAGAATTTAAACCAACATACTTACCAGATACTGCATGGCAATAGATCGCCGGAGAGGCCCAGGGGGCCCAATAAGAAAGACATCTTGGCCAAGAAGATCTTTCTGCATTATCCATCTTAAATGGTGGACTACAGACTGGGCCAGAGAATCTGTCACTTTGAAACACAAAGATAAGAACACATTATTAAATTTCGAAAAGTGCTAGATACCTGACCATTCACACATTTTTTTGTTCTTGTCTTCAAAAATAAAATGAAGACACAAAGATGTTCTGTCCTAAAGCTGGATAGCTGAAAAGCAGAGAATTCCACACAGAATTTATATTAGACCATTTAATTCACATATAAGTTTACACAGCTATCTTACCCACTGCTTTTTTGTCTGCACAACTTCATCCTTCAAAAAAACAACCAATATAAAACAGAAAAAGTTGCTGATTCTTATTCCACATTAAACTAATTAACATAAAGACGTGTTTTTATTACTCAATGTTGAGTGGACTTCTCAGCCTCAGTTAATATAATGTAAATACATTATTAATAATTTTTAAAATATTTATCCTGCCTATATCCCAATGCTTTTTTGAATCGTGAACTTCCAAAAAAAAAAAATACTGTGATTGTGCCAGACAAAGATTAGTAATCAGGGACATACTTAATTTGTTATTTTTTTTAAAGACAACTCATTCCTGTTTATATTTTGACACAATAAACCACAGAATTACCAAGGAAATGCAAACCTTGCCGTATCACTACATTGATACCATATAGCTTCCAAAATCATCATAAAAAACAACTCAAAGCAGATCTGCTTACTTCTATTAAGAAATATAAAACTCATTATTTTAAAAAGCAATAACTTGATTATAATTAAACTAAAGCCTTTACCATATGCACTCAAATGTTGGCAGCACTGGAAATCATCATGCAGAAAGAGCACACTGAAGGAGGGGCGTCATATTCCCAGAACAGTCCTTCACATATCCCCCAGCAAAGCCTGGCTCTTTCTCACCCACAAGCAAGAAGCACTAGTGCAGGAAGAGAAGGCGAACATAAGCAAGTCAGGAGGGAGACTAATGTATGCACGTATGTATATGGTTACTTTCAGGACAATCTGACAAGACTAATGATGGTCTGAAGCTGGAGGCTCAAGGGTGGTGACTGGGATGCTGAAGCACAGAAAGAAAGGAGCAAGAGGTAATGAAATCTCCAAATTAATATTTGGTTTTTTAACTTTTTTTCAGTGCGATTACTGGTTGGAATTAGAAGCCAACATTTAAAAAAACAAGGTTCAGTGCTACTTAAGCTTTCCTGAGACAGGGGAAGTAGTGCGTGCAGGGCAGAGTTAAGGACAGCAAGCAGTAGTGCCTCTCAGTTCTGAGAGGGTTCAGTTCACTTTGCATACCAGAATTAAAATTCATTTTTTAAGATCATAGAAACAGCATTAAATGACTGTGTGACATTCAAGAAAGATTTTTCAAGCATAAAGGTGACTAAGGAAAACTTTGACAAAAACTTTAACTGAATGTTTTGGTCTTTGGTCTGGCACTCAGCAAAGCCATGCGAAATCATCTACTTGCAAGGAAATCTACAATATCCTGACCACCAATATGAACAGGAATAGCATACGCACACAGGTGAGCAATCTACCTACGTACATTATGGCTGTCAGATTAATTTGTAAACTAACATTCCAGGTTTGCTTTATTGTTTTGTTTTCTAAACAAACTGTCATGAGCATGCCCAGGATTAGCTTTCATATATGGTATAGTAAGATAACACGAATGCAAAATACTTTCTTCTTCACTGCAGTATTGTATTCCAAAAGCAATGCACATTGTACCACACGCAACTGGTCAAATGCAAATAAATCCTTTCCTTTCTACAAGATTTTCAAGAAAATAAGGCAAGTTTCTACTAGATACATTCTTTGGGAAATAAAGGGTAATACATCACACCAGAAGAACTGCTCTGTCCAAACTATGCTACTGGACAAGTACGCAAATTTGAAAAGCATCACACAAACAAAAAGTATTATCTTAAAGGTACCAAAAATTTTAAGACAGATCTTACATTTGTTATTACTTCTACCTGCATGAAGCCAACGTGCCTCTAGTGTATTTTTATAATAGTTGTTCAGTACATTGTTCCAGACATTAAGCCTACTTCATTTTTCCAGCTATGCTGTTCTAAAATCATGTAACATTTTCTTTGTACATGCAGCCTATGCTACATAAACTATTTCCAAACCACAGCAGTTTTTCAAAAGCAACCTTAGATGTACATACACAGTATCTTGTATATCATTTATATATATTTAGACTACTTGTACTGTGTTCTCTGCATTGCAAGGCTTTTAAGTTTTCTCTAACATGACTTGAAAAAAAATTCCTCTCTATTCAGGAACCATATGTCAACATTACTACAAGTATCATGTAACCATTTTCTACGACATTTAGAAGATAGGGCAAATTCACTGAGGAAAGCATCAGCAAGTACATTACAGCAATTTTTATTAATTATCCAATGAGTCACATAGCATCTAATGCAAACTGTGTTTGAACAATCTGTTTAGTGGCACTCTGCTGATTTGCAGTAGTTAAATAGTTACATTCTTAATCTGCAGGATGTTGCATAGGAAGCCTCTACAGTGTATTCTCTAAGACACCATCTGGCACATGCAGGAGAGTAGTTGGTGCTACAATTTGCTATTCCTGTGTACCAAGGACAGATAGCAAAAGATATTGCATTCTATTGATTCATAATATGTGATAAGTAGGACAGCACCTAGCAGAATCTGCACAAACATTTTGTAAAGTGAGCAGTTGAAGCTGAATGGAGAAATCCCCAAATAAGAAAAGTAGAAAATGTTTTAGGTAGATTTTGAAGCAAACACAGCAGCTGCTCCTGTTTGATCCACAAATCAGCTTTTGATAAAACCAAGACTGAAATGGCTATGCTAACCTCAGAAATTTTCTGGTTCACTCATACGTAAATTCTTGGCAGATGCTACACTCACTGAAGCCATAAGTTTTGCTGGAGATAGCAGACAGTATCTTCTGGCAAGTCCTTGTGTCCCAGCTACAGAAGAAATCCCATAAATAAGGTGTCACCTAACTCTTCCCACTGTTCAGACAGTTCAGTGAACTGATTCCCAAAAATATCTATTCCAAATGCAGTACAAAATACAGCAGAACTTGTGTCCCTGTTTGATCATTCACATAATAACAAACAGGCACTTAGAAAAGTATACATAATTTTCAACAGGATAAAAGAAGAACTCTGCATACCCTGAACCTTCACTACAATGCATGCTCAGAGTCTGAAAATTCCTCCTTTTTCTTAGGAGAGGAAAAAATTCATGACAAGAAAAAGATCTTGTCTGAATACCGAGGGGGTCCTTTAGCTGTCCACAGCAGTCTGCAGTACATCCAGCAAGGGGGCAGCTGCCATAAAATACAGTTACGGAAGAAGGGGAAAAGGAGGGAGGTCTTTGTCTAAAAACATAAACACATTTCAAAAAGGGAATTTTTATTTTATTTTTTAAATCAGCTCACTGAGACTCACTTCACAGCTTGTTCAGGCTGGGGGACAATGAAGAAAGATAGTGAGTTGGCCAGGAGAGAGTGGAGAAGGCAGCATGGCCAAGGTGAAGAGGGAGGCACTTCTATGTGGTCTCCTTTCAGTGACTGTCATTTAGCACTTTGCAAGTAAAACATTGCTGCTCTTCCCATTTTATGGTGATGCACAGAGCCCAAAGACTTTTCAGTCTTATAATGTGGTTACATCACAGACAGTTTTCACTGGAATACTATTTTTCCTCATAAATTTTTCATGGAAACTGTCTTCATTCCAAAAATTTTTGTTCTTGCGGTGGTAAGGAAATAAGTTGCAAGTCTTTGCAGGGGCTTAAAAAGGGGGAAGTTACTTCTTAGATGAGACCATAAACTCATAGATTAATTCCTCTGAGTTGATTGCTTCAGTTCTACATAGATAAATCATATTTCTTCATGTAAATTAAAAGATAATATAAAGGAAACATGTAAAACCAAATAGCTCTCTGGAAGAAACCCTGAATGGGATTCAGAAAACTATGTTTCTCCTAGTGACACATAAACATGGAATAAATGAAACTATTCTTAGCTGGATGTACAACTCACAGAGAAACACACAGTCAGAGCAGTTATCTGTAGCCCAGACTCCCACTGGAGGGATATACTGTGTCTGCTTTAAGGTGCAACTGCTCAGTTCAGCACTGAAAAGTATGAGAGATTCTAGAAAAAAGCAAGAAAAATTATCAAAATAAATTGGAATTCAGTTCAGAAAATAAATAACTGTTTTCCAATATGCAAGACAGAACCACCACGAAGAAAAAAGTTATCTGTATATCATGGTTATGCTAGATAAAATAAGACCCAAGGGAACTAAAAGTATGCCTCAAAAGACCTAAATGAGGTATTTGAACAAGCTTTTGTCACAAAAGAATCATTAACTACTGGAGCAAAGTGTGCAGAGAGGTTGTGAAAGCCATGTCACCATCACATCTTAAGAACAAGGATGACAAACATCTCTCAGGAATGGTTCAGATTCAGCTGACCTTGCTTTGAGGCACATGATTCTCTGAGCTCCACCTAGACCTTTGCTGTAGGTTTCCCTGTCCCCGTATCTCCCTGTGCCTCACTTTCAGTACAGACAAAACAGGGATAATGATGTAAAATGTTCAGAACTCTACCTACAAAAAGATCACCATTTCAGATTCTGGATGAGGTCGTAACACCCAAATAACAGTTGGGTTACTACATGAAATGTACTGTTGAAATAATCACCATCTCTAACAGAAGACATCTTCCCTGAGGCTAGGAATGAAGTACTTACAGAATATTCTGAATTCGAAGGGTCCCACAAGGCTCATGCAGTCCAACTCTTAAGTGAATGGTCTGTATGGAGATCAAACCCGTAACCTTGGTGATATTAGCACCATGCCCTAACCAGTGAGCTAACCTCAGGAACTATGCAATGACTTAATCTTTTGTTAGCACAACATTACAGTCATACTGCAATACAACCTGTCTCTATAATGTGTTGCACTCTGACACTCAGATGTAAAGTTAGCACGGAGAAGAATGGACACACATTCCAGTGCAAATCTGAACCTATTCTGAGCAAAAACTGAACATACACTTGTCCTGGCTTCGGTATGTGGTGCACGCCATCCTGTGAAAAGGACACAGAGCCATCTTACTCTTTTGGTGAAGAATAAATGAACAGAAACTGCTGACACCACTGAGCCTATTAAAGAGAAATAATCCCAATTTCCTCAACAGTAGAACAATTTCAAGCACAGTAATCCATTTAGTGCTACCTTCTTTGTATCTCATTATTATACGCACAAACATTCTGTTTAAATTCCTCACGACAATCACTGTTTCATATATTTCAACTGAAAAAAAACTAATAGAATTTCTCACTTAATCCCCTGTATACATGCACGTCCCTTTTGATCACACGTTGAAGAGGGCACTAAGACTCAGGACATCTGGCACAAAACCATGCACTGTTTGAAATTAATCTTGTACAATTCAATGCAGCTGCATGTAACATGACTACAGTCTCTCAAATGCACTTGCACCTTCACAGAGCAGCAAAGCCCTGTTGCAAGAGAACATCCCTTTCCCTGTCTTAATGAGGATTTGCCATCATTGAATGAAGTGTCCTGGAAGAGCTGTGTTAGGAATTGTTTTGTCAAAATTAAAAAATACATGAAATGTCATTTTCATAACATTTCCAGAAACCATTAAGGAAAGCAGTGCATTGACATGAATTCAACATTAAAAAAAAAATAATGTGCATTCTTGCAATTCAATTTTAGATCCAAACTATCACAGAAATTCATACAAAATTTCTCCAAAGTAAAATTAAAGATACAATCGTGCTTTCAGGCATGGTGAGACTTTAAAAATATAGGGTTTATTTTTACTGATAAAAGAACGAGCAGTGCAAAAATAAGTGTCCTCTTTCTAGAATGTATCAGACAGTTATGACAGAAATCCCATTAATAAAATTCCCTTGTGTATGACTCATTTTTGCTTGTCACCTTTAAAAAGAATTCAGATTTTATGTACCTTTAATTATCATCTTCCGAGAAAAAGCCATTTGTCAACAACAGCAAAACAAATTAATATTTCACATTAACACATAAAATGGAATATTTCATACAGAACTTGCTAGGTATCTAGCATAAAACCTGAAAAGCAAAGACATGAAAACATAGGGCAACCAGCAATACCTATCCTATCTGTTTCTGCAAAATATAATAAGGTGCAAAAATCAGTTAAAAATCAATCTAATTTGGTAATACAAAAAACCCACATTTTTTTGTAGCAATTATGTGACAAAATGACAAATGTGAAGTTTTGTAGGTACTTAACACATTTACCTTCCTCATTGTGTTAAGATTTCTTCAGATTTTTAAGGCTATTTTTAAGCCTAGAATAATAATGCTGAGTTAAGAATAAGTTATAACATCCCTAAAATCTGTTGCAAATTATAGATATGCACTTTCAACAGCACCACATTTTAACACGGCTTTTATGTGGCAGAAGAAAAAAGCGGAAACATTTTATTTTACACAAAAGATAGGCTAGAAAACAATATCATATGCAATACCAATAAATGAATTGTAACTGCTTCAATTCCCTCCTATTAGTTCTTACTCCACTACAACCATTGCAATGTCTGAGACCTTTTCAGGGATATTTCCCACTTATAAAGATAATCTAATTATTTCTAGTCTTAGTTTAAAAGAAATCATGTAACTACCTTTCTCATTTAAATGTAATATTAATTACAAAAAAATTCAAAATATATGACATTTTAGTTTATAAATTAGTACATAAATGCATAAATTGTGTTCATCTGTTTTACACCAAAACAACTTGTATCTACAGCATTCACATAGAAAAACAAAAACTACTCTTAAAAGAACAAAAAATTGTGTTAAGTAATGCACATACTCTCTAAGTATCTCATAAAGAGATGATATTCTATATGGCGTGAATACAACCTACTTCACTTCAGGAATATAACTTTGTTCTCCACAGTAACATTACCAAAGAACTTGAACACTAAGAGATAAAAAAAATTCCTAAGTTTAAATGTACCAAGAAACTGTCTTTAAGTATTTGAAATATATTTTATGCTATTAAATACATTATTATTTTACTTTACTAAATTTTAACTCATTTAATAGTTAAGTTTACAAGCAAAGTTTTGTACCTTAAGTAATCCTACTGTCAGTACAATACTGATGAACTAGAGTATCCCAAGCATGACACAAGTTCCTTTCAGTTATGACTACGAAGAGAAACAAAATAATATATATGTTCTAATAAATGATACATTTTGTTTTGATATCAGATTTTAGCTAAGATCTCATAATTCTGTAGAGTTCCATATTTAATAACCTTTTTGCTATCAGTTTTCAACCACTTTTTCCTTCTTATAATCATTAACTATAAAAATTTCTCCTTTCATTCTTCCAAATGCTTTTATAATTCTCTTACCTTCTCAGAAAGAGATGTTGCTAGAGTAACTTACAGTTAACATTTACCTTGCTGAAAAGTGCAGATTGAACAAAACGTGTAATAGTGACTGGGAAGGCATTGTTAAAATTAACACATTCGGTACAGCAAACAAAACCAGAAAGCAAAACAATCTACAAGAATTATAAATAAGTGAAATGGATCACATCAGTCATAAGCATAGACAACTGATGTCCTTTGTGATCAAAATGAGAAAAGAAGCATACAAAATAAAGGGTGAAAAGCAAAAATCTATCCTTTAAGGAGCTACAAAAAGTAGTAATACAGAGCAGCATATGAAAAGTAATAATACAGAGCAGCATTTCTCAACCATTTGGCTGCATTCCCAGGGAACTCATGAGGTATGGGAATTGTCATTACAGTCTAAAAAAGAAACCCTTTCCTCATAGGCTACCCTGTAACAGCAAGAGCTGGCACATGGCATTGGAAATTTTTGTTACCTTAGATCACCTGGTAGGGAAGTGACAGTGTGATGCCTCCTGGGGTATGAGAATTAAGCAGCCCACAATCCAGATGCAGATCAGTGATCTGGCCCACCAGACTAATGACAGATTTCACACAAGTCAGACTGAAAGCAAACCAAACCTTCCTCTTTGTATTGCTCTCTGAGCAACCTAATCTAGCTGAAGATGTCCCTGCTCATTGCAGGGGGTGTTGGACTAGATGGTCTTTGAAGACCCCTTCCAATACAAGCCATTCTATGACTCTATATTTCTGCTACACTTCTCAAAGGGCAAATATTTCAGAAGAAATGCTGCATGACAGAATAGTGGTAAGAAACAAACATATCAGTAGTAACATAGGTCTACCATCCCACAGTTACTACAAAATCATGAAGCACAGAAACACAGAACAGCTGAAGCTGTAAGGGACCTCTGGATGTCATCTTGTCCAACCCTCCTGCTCAAGCAGGATCACCTAATGCCTGTCTGATGAACTGAAGCACCATTGTCCAAGAAAACGACATAAACTTTCACGCAGCAGCTCTCGCCCTTTCTGACACTGTACCAGCAGCATTCCCTGTACACCTGTAACATCCCTTTTGCCCTCAATCTCTTTCTCCCAGTAGTTACCTGCCATCCTGCCAGGTGTGCAGTGGCAAGTCCCTTGTTGATATTATCAATGCCATCTTTCTAAAAGGCCAAAGAAAACCCAGTGCCCCAGTTTTCTTGGTGTCTGAGTCAAAATGCCATAGAATGAATTTAGACATACTGGAAAGCAAATCCACTTCAAGTGAATGGCTACATTCACTATTCATCTGTAGAACTTTTCAAGCCCAGCAAGGACAGTAATTGGGAGTTCTTGGTGCTCGTCCTTGTCTATGCATAGTATAAGACATGCATACCCCTTCAGAATGCCATTTGTGCTTGGTTTTGGTCTGCAAATTTATCTGAGTGGAAAATCAGGTTTTGGTGAGCGATTTTTAATTTGCATTTTGGACATCCAGTAGCCTATATGTGAAAGTGTTGAACAAATAGCAACTGATCATTTTGGATCCTCAGGAAACATTTTCCTGCACTGTACTACGAAATGCCACAACACAAGCGTGATTCACTTGCTGATCCATGGTGCAAAAGAAAAAGCTCAAGAAGCGTGTATTCTCAATCAACAATCAGGAAATAAGGATGGCTGCAGATCCATGACATTTTTAATAAGGTATCAAAACATAATGCGAATTAATTTGTAAGTACATGTATGTGCATTGTTAATGTGTGTAACTAGCTGTGTCTTTTGTATTTGACAGCATTTTTCATCACTGTGCAATTGACTTCTCATTAACTTTGATGGATTGCGAAGATCTGTATGTTTGCTGACAACAATAACATGACAATCTGGGAATACTAAATATCACAGCAGAAAAACACCATACATCTGCCAAACTCTTAGGACATATAATTACAATGCAATTGAATGATAATTCTAAACTGCCACAGTTTTACGACCAAACAATTTGAGATTATTTTTAAAAGTAATTTCTGGATAGGAACCCTTTTCAACAAAATAATTAAACATACACAAATGATCCTTTTACTATCCTACTGACCAGTGGAACAAGTTACATTCAAAGTTAAGAGATTCCTATACAATCAGCTGACCAGAGATATACTCAGGAAAGACAGCCTTCTCCAAATTTCCTGCTTTTTCAAAATATATTTCTTAGATAATTTCAGTAAAGTCTATGGGGTGATTGAGTGAGTAGAAGTTTTCTGAATAAAGTCTTGAACCTCATTCAAAAAGAAAGCAGATTCTTACTGTAGTTCTGTGGAACAAGTTCTGGGTTCTTCGGTGTTTTGAGTTTAAAAGACACATCTCCAATAGTGACAGTATCACCTAAAAAAAAAAAAGAAAAGAAGTCTTTTAGTTCTCAGATACTTCAGATACTTTCTTAGAGCCTAAGGTCCTTAAAATTAAAAACATAGGCCTGCTGTGGTAAGGCTGACTGTGTGTTCACAAAGCAGCCTCTAATGTGTTTGTGTTTATTAATTAGGCTCTGCTGCTTTTCAACAGATCAGGTACCCGGACAATTTGCATTTAATTTATATTCCTTGACTGTTTTGGTTTTTTCGTTATAACCATACATTACTTTGTTGGGACCTACGGAATTCAAGCTCAGTGTAGAACCCCATTCCAGCTACCATTGTTGATTTACTGAAATTAAATCATCAGCACATTTGCCTGCAGAACTAGCAGTGAAAAACACTTGTAGGGCGATGATCTTCCTGAGCTTTCAAGCAGCCTGAAACAGTATCCGTTGGAGGTACAAAATGACAGATTCATGCCAGTGGGCTCTTCCTGCATTCCCTGACTACATGGTTGCAGAACCTGGCACCTTTCCAAGGTTTGAGAGGTCTCAAGCATTTCTTGCTCTGGATTTCGCCAAACCTAGAGCATCTGGACAGTTTATTTACTGGTCTCTTACTATGATCTGGCTGTCTTATCTATCTTTCTGCAGCCATAGGCTTGAATTAAATTTCTTCTTTCTTTCTCATGAAAATCAAAACTGAAAATTAGTTTGCAGTCAGGATGGGTGAGCACCAAGGCAACAGCAGTCACACAAAAAACCAGCACAACACCCAAATCCCAAGAAAATGAGCTGTAGACTGGTAACAAACCTGAAGATTATTTTTTTCAAGAGACAATCTGGGCTACATAAATGAGTTCAGAAGCACCATGAAACTAAAATTACTCTAGTTAAATGATGTTTTTTTCCATGACTGGTGCTGAAGATAACACCACCTCCAGTGCTCAATAGACACTGAAGTGCGTGCATGAGGATGGAGAGGATTACTGGAGTAAGACTGCTGCACAGGGGTGTAGTTTTGCCACAGCACTCTGATTACATTACCTTTCCATGAACTGAGGCCAAGTTTTGGAACTGTCTTTTGTGTTTGTGCTTTTCTCAAAAATCAGTTGTATAACGTACAGAGATCGCAAACAAGATCCAGCTCTAAAAACTCTCTTGTAGATCTGCCCCTTGTCCTACTCTATCCAAGAAGACTCAGTCTGCAGCACCGTGGAAGGAGTCAAACATTTTGGAAGACAAATGCTGGAACCAGAAAGGGAAATGCTGAAGAAGCCACTTGTCCAAATTAAGAGGTAACTAAAACTCCTTCCATACACACAGAAGCTCTCCTTTCAGTTAGCAGTGACTGTAGTTTTGCACTCAAAAGCCATTTTCTTCCAGCACACCCAGATGTTACTGCTCATCTCACAGGACTGAGAATCCCCAGGTCCTGACATGACTCACACAATCCATGGGAAAGGTTACACGTTTAGATTTATAGCAGCCAGAGGAGAATCACCTAGAGTAACAAACAGTAAGCAGTAAAGAAAGGATTATAGTTGATTTCCTCCCAGATTGAAGGGTTTGACTTGCCAAGACTGGGATTCACAACCTGACATACATGCCTGAACATGGGTCTTTATGTTGTTTCTGAAGTATAAATAATCAGGGTCCCATTTTTTCCCTAAAATATTGGCAAAAGATAGTAAGCTGGTTATTGTTCCCACATTTTATGCAACAATACAGTGCTCCAATGGCTTGCCAGAAAGTGGGAGACAGGCAACAGCAGTACTGCCATATAAAAGATGAACAAGAATTCATCCCTGGTCCTAAGTGCAAGCAGCACCAAGCAGTTCCCACTTTCCATGCTAGAGCTAAGAACCCTTCTTTGGCTGATCTGTGCAAAAGCCCAGAGGCAGGATGGTCCTGGACAGAGCTGGGCTAAGCTAAGAATTAGGCAGCTGTCTAGGGCTATAGCTAATTTTCTGGCCTTTGCTGAATTTGCATTTCAAATACACCAAAGAGTACTATACCCTCTTCAGTGTGATGCATTCAAACTCACTGCAAAAGAAAGTTCTGCATTAGCTTAGGTCCCTGACCCCCATTCTGGGAACTGTTACATATCTTAAATTAAGAGTCACTTAAATTTAAGAACAACAGACTCAAGCACTGCAGGGAGTAATATCTAGTCTATGGCTCTCCTAGTGTTTTGCCCATTTCTCTAAGTTTTAAAGTAAGAAAAACTATTACTGCCTAAGCATTCTCTCCTTTTCTCTTTCTTCTGCTGCAGCTCCAATCACTTTCTCATCGGGGAACAGCTAAAGAGGATCATGGCAGGGCACCAACATTTTTGCCTCCACACCTTTCTAATCTGGGCCACTCATGGCGATGGGATGAGGGGAAGCAGTATGAGGAACAGCTGAGGTCACCTGGCTTGTTCAGCCTGGAGGACAGAAGACCAAGAGGAGACCTCATTGCAATCTGTAGCTTCCTCATGAGGGGAGGGGCAGGGGCAGGAACTGATCTCTTCTCTGTGGTGACCAGAGCAGCATGAAGCTGTGTCAGGGGAGATCTAAGAAAAGGTTCTTCACCTACAGGGTGGTTGGATACTGGAACAGGCTCCCCAGGGAAGTGGTCACAGCACCAAGCCTGACAGAATTCAGGAAGCGTTTGGACAACACTCTCAAGCACATGGTATGATTCTTGAGGTGTTCTGTGCAGGGCCAGGAGTTGGACCTCAATGATCCTTGTGGGTCCCTTCCAACTCAGGATATTCTATGATTCTATGAAAATGTCTCCAAGTTGATGAAAACACCCTAGGAGCTCACTGCCTCCTGCAAAAGCTAGGAAGAATTTTAACATTCTAAAAAGAGCAGGTTGCCTTACATATTCTTAGGAAATTAGTGACAGTTTATTTTCTCTCCATTCCCCAGTCAACATGCAATGAGACCAGAATATATGATTAATTAGCTCCTAGCTGAAATCACCTCAGCTCAAGTTGTAAATACTCTTTCGTGCATACACAGTCTTCCAAAACACAGTAGGGACAAGATGCCAAAACAACAAGATGTCAGACTTTTTCAATACGTTGGAATGATGATATCAACTACAGGACAGAATCTCAATTACTCAGTCTATTAGCACACAAGCTGAAAAGCTTTAGTTGATTTCCTGCACTCCCTTAAAAAAAACCAAATCACAACTGAGTTTGGTCTAGGTGAAAAATGGAAAATCTATCTCTTCAGGTGGTATTTATCTCAGTCCCTAGCACACTAACCCTTGACCAGCACATCTAACTATGTCCAAAAATCCCACAGGTATTCCAGTCATCAATGGACTCTACAAACTTCCAAGAAAAATGGGCTGGGAGGGAACTATATGTAAGATGTGGTGAGAGCTGAGCCCACAAAATCCCTAGGATACAGTCAGGGTATTCATCTTTTAATAGGTTTGTTGCTGCCTGGTGACAGATGTTGCCTCCAGCCTGCATCTGTCCAGAAAGCAAAAATATTAGCAGTGTTTAACAGAACTTCAAGCAATAATAAACCAAGACAGGAGAGTCCATTTTCCTAGCTAAATGAGCACAGGAAGGATTAGCCCACTAATCTTATCACACACTTCCACCTGGACTGCATTTTCTTGTCTCATTTTTTTTCTTCTGTACTTGTTTAAAAACTCATGTTTGGTTAGTCCATTTGCACTGCATTTCCAAACTCTTCGAACAGATATCTCATTCCAGACAGGCTCTTTCCAGTGTTTCACCAGCTGGCAAGGAACTGATAACAGTCTTCTTAGTAAAATGGTGGCATTAAATCAGCAAGACTCATAATTTGAGAGCACGTATCCCACATTATTTGACTATGTGGTAAATTATGGAATAGCCTATATACTCCAATCACAAGCTACTACCACACTACTGCAGACAAGGGCTATACACACAGGAGTTTGTGATGGAGACTTTGTAGCCTGTATAAGGCTTGCTTAGGCAAGCAGTGAAGATATGCTCCTGCTTTCTTGTTTCCCACCCAGAAAACAGTAATCTTAGATACCACAGTCTTTGGGGAAAACAGTGAGAGACAGTGCCCAAGGTACACAAAGAGGTATGGCTACTGAAACAAGACAAGCACTAAATAAGCCAGAACCCAAAAGGTAAAGGGGACATCTCATTCACGGGGCAGACAATATACAGGGAAAGCAGGTCTTTTAAGAGCCCATGCAACATGGGTCAGAAATTGGCAGCACATAAAGATCACGACTCAATAACAGGACTCTGAAGAGACTCTGGGAAAAAAAGCAGATATGAAAACAGCCTCAATACATGCAATGAGCTCTTTCTCCTGCATCTGGAATAGAAAGGTGTGAATTGCACCTCTGGCAATATGGAAATTCGAACATGCACAGTAACTGCAGTGCACTGAACCTGATGTTCTCTTCTTCAGACCTACACTTTAAGACAGAAACGATATCAATATCTATATCTGCTTTTTACAGTAACTGAGAAGGAAGGGCTCTTCAGGTGTGCAGGCTTATTTTTTCCACTCAGTCCACTGTGGCCTAGGCTACTGAATAGAAAGGCAGCATCTCTAGCTCCAAGCCCCTGAGATGCAGAGGAGGCAGCCAGAGGCTGGAAAAGCACTTTGGCAGGGCACCCCTGCATGAACAACACCCTGTGCTTTTACTCTCCCCCCACATCTCTTACTCACTGTTCTCAATATGGAATAGTAGACTTGATGGACCTTTGTTCTGACGCACTGTGGATGATTTTATTTTAGAATCTCAGAAAGAAGGCTTCTCAAACACGCAGTCTTACTGTGCACTTGGCATGTTTGACTGGTCTATTTGAAAGCTAGTAATTATCACACCAACTATCCCTCTTCTCCTCTCCACGTCCCACAAGACTATTCCCTAATCCTACTATTCATTCCTATATGCTGAAAAGACACTGCAGTTTAAATTATTTTCAACACTGGTAATATCTGAAGATAAACAAGTTGCATCTCAACTACAAAGCAGAAAAAAGTTTTATTCTACTCACCATTTTTCTGGTAAAATAACACATTAAGAAAAAAGGAAATGAATACATCTGAAAAGGTCATTTTTAAATAAATGCTACTGCAAAAAAACCCACCCTGAACAGCTCTATACATGTATTTAGTTTTTTAAGTGACAACACAAATAGTTCCAGTCTCATGTGTAAACTGTATTTATATTATGAGGGTTTTTAGAAGACACTACAATGAAGCTTCAGGAACGTTATGTTTTTAGGTCGCTGAATTTATTGCCTTTTGGCCTCTTTAGTCCTGAAAATATGTGAGGTTAATGGACTCTAACAATCATCTTGGTATATTACACATTCACTTGTACACAGACTATCCATCTGGTTTCAAAAGCCAACAACAGCAAGAGCATATTAAAACTGTGAAGGTGCTAAGCTCCGCTAATATGAATTTCTGTGTGGGAAAATCACACCTGTTAAAGGAAAGTCTGAAATCTGTATTATATTCAAATGTATATTTCCAGGTCTTCAGTTCATTCTAAAGTGAAGGAAAGGAGGAAAGAAAACCTATGCTTTTAACCGATATTTATCCAGCATATTTCCATGAAGAAACAGAAAAGATTGTCCACCCTCACTTATTCTTGAAGAGCCAACTTATTTCTTTCATTTCACAGCAGCTCTTATTGGTTATCTTTATGGCTGTAAATATTATACAGTCACTGAGCAACACTGTCACCTATTCTGCATCACATATCAGTACTGGCAACCTCCCAAACACATAAGTAGGAGGGATAGAAACCTATTCCCTGCACTCACTAGGTTTGTTCCTTGACCACCACTGCTTTCACATATAGATGAGGTGAAGCTCAGCTGCTGCTGACAGGACACTGCAGACTGACAGCTGCTGCTGTCAAAATAGATGAATGGTTACACAAAAAAAACTATCTCCAATCTAACAAAAAAAAATCCACTCCAGTTTCCCTTTTTTATGACCTCAAGTCTTTTCCTCTAAGAAACCAAAATAATTACTTCAAACATAAAATTTGAATACTACTCTATTTCTACTCAACATTCTTGTTAGACCTTCTCTTTTTTTAATTTTTAGTTTTGAAGCTAACGTTGGAGTTTTCAATTGTCTGTTTTAGGCTAATGATTGTCTTTACTAATCAAAATCCAAAGCATCATTAAACCAAAATATTGGTATTTACTCCAGGAAGTGAATCTTTTCCTTCATTTTTCTGCATTAGTAGAAAATCAACAACATGAGCATGGAATCTTATCTGACATCCAGTCACGTAGAAAGTTTACAATCTTTACTTAGCAGAGAGCTTTTTTTTGTTTGGGCCAATAGCATACCTTGAAGGTAGGGAGTCTGATAGTGCTCAATTACAAAAGTGTGACGATGTGAAAAGTCAGTCTTAAATGTTTAATAGCATGTTGATCTCCCATAGACTTGATATACAAATTTCGGAATATCTCTTCATAATACACTTATCATGTGAAAGAAGTGCTAAGATGTCCATTTCATCAATTACCAAAACACTTCAGAAATACTGGTGATCTTCTCCAACTCCCTGCTCAACATCATTTAACCTCCAAGACAAGATCTGGTGAGCTATGGTTCTGTCTGACTGAATCTCAAAAACCTTCAAGGACGGATGTTCCACAGCCGTTCTAGCCAACCTCTTCCCCTGCTGTACTATTCTCCTAACAAAAAGGTTTGTCCCACTGACCAGTTCGAGCCACCCAGACCCTAGTTTGTGATGACTGCCTTTTGATATATTATCTGCTGCTATAGAGTTAGACTTAATCATTTTTGTAATTATAATTGTTAAGTTGCCAACAGATTTCTCCTCCATTAGGCCTGCTGCAAAACAAACAAACCCACATCCCTCAGCTTCTCTTCAGCGTGAGGTGCTCTAGGTCCCTCACAATTTTGGTAACCCTCCAGCAGACTCCATCAGTTTCTCATTATCTCCTAAAATTATGGAACCTGCAATTGGACTCGGCATTCCAGGCAGAGCCCCACCAGTGCTAGAGATGAACTCTCCCTTTGCTATTGCCCATGCTTCTAATGTAGTCCAGCCTATGATTCACCTTAATTGCTATGAGTGTTGGCTCATAGTCAACTAGACATACACTGTAACCCCACAGCCTTTTCACCAAAGTTGCTACTCAACCAGTCCCTCCCCAGTCTACAGTGGCACATAGCAAAACTTTAGTCCAGAGGCAGAACTTCATACTTCCTTTTCAACTTTCACAGATTAAACCCATGACACAGTTCTCAAGCTTATCAGAGTCCTTCCAGACTTAAGATCTGCACTCTGACAAGAGGGTAGGGATTTTGTCCCTACACACCAAATTGTGCTTTTACACTTCCGTTGTCTGTCCTTATTTGGACTTTTGTAAGCTCCCTTTTTGTACTGTAGTTCATTGAGAAGTTCCCTGCTTGGCCAA